CTCACAAAATATAAAATATTACTATCTAGCCCTTCATAGAAAAAGTCTTCAGACCCTTGCCCTACAGCCAAACTCTTTCTACCAAAAAAGAAAACATACCCAATAATTACACACAAAAACTCATTTGCTTTTCCCTCTCCAATATTTATGTTTATAAATATATACATTAACTTTTGTATTACATTGGACACTTAAAAAATTTAGTGACGCTTGGGACATCCCTGGTGGTGCAGTGGTTAAGAATATGCCTGCCGGGCTTCCCTGGTGGCACAGTGGTTGAGAGTCCGCCTGCCGATGCAGGGGACACGGGTTCGTGCCCCGGTCTGGGAAGATCCCACATGCCGCGGAGCGGCTAGGCCCGTGAGCCATGGCCGCTGAGCCTGCGCGTCTGGAGCCTGTGCTCCGCAACGGGAGAGGCCACAACAGTGAGAGGCCTGCGTACCGAAGAAAAAAAAAAAGAATATGCCTGCCAATGCAGCGGACAGGGGTTCAAGCCCTGGTCGGGAAAGATCCCACATGCCGTGGAGCAACTAAGCCCGTGAGCCACAACTACTGAGCCTGAGCGCCACAACTACTGAGCCCACATGCCACAACTACTGAAGCCCATGTGCCTAGAGCCCATGCTCCGCAACAAGAGAAGCCACGGCAATGAAAAGTCCACACACCACAATGAAGAGTAGCCCCCGCTCGCCACAACTAGAGAAAACCTGCGTGCAGCAACAAAGACCCAAAGCAGCCATAAATAAATTAATTAAACAAACAAACAAATAAATAAAGTTGTTTTAAAAAGTTTTAGTGACTCTTGTTGAAAGTGATTCATGTGCCACTGACCTCTGATACATACTTTTCTTTATCTGGAATATTTTTTATTTTTAAAGGTAAATTTTCTTTCACCAATAGCAACCAGTGTTTGCAGTTTTTACATCCTGCAGATATGACATATGTTTTTGAAAAGAAATTCTATGTTAGAATAAAAACTAACAATTTAGAAATCAGGTTTGGTTCAGGAACAAGCAAATTTCAGTCAAGCTTAAGACTTGGTGGGAAATGATGGCTGATCGTTAATTCAGACACAGTGATTTAATAACTAAAGATAAAATCAGTTAATATTGCTTTAAAAATAGGGAAATTAGGCACTGAACAGAAGACTAATCCAAAAGACGTGGATATAGATTTACATATAAAATCAACAGTTTAAAAAATATATATAAAAATACATTTGTATGGTAGGTAAGACTGACAAGACATTATTTTTTTCAGGAAGTCTTCTTTAATTCTTCCGAGTTATGTGCCCTCCTATGTGTTTTCATAGCACCCTTCATTTTCCTTAATCTAGCACTTACCATGCTGCATCATAAATGCTTATAATCTTTTTTTTAAGCATTTTTTAAAATATTTATTTATTTGGCTGCACCAGGTCTTAGTTGCAGCACTCGGGATTTTCGTTGCGGCACACGGGCTCTTTAGTTGCAGCATGTGGGATCTAGTTCCCTTACCAGGAATTGAATTCAGGCCCCTGCACTGGGAGCGTGGAGTCTTAGCCACTGGACCACCAGGGAAGTCCCTACATTTATAATCTTAACAAGGGCAGAAATCACATCTTTTCCTTGTCACTGCATCACTACTGTTTAGTACCATGATAAGCACATAATAGGCACTCAGTAAATATCTGTAAAATGAATAAAAAAGAAATCATATGGTAGAAGTTCAAAACAACCTATACAATCAGTGTTACTGCCCAAAATAAAATCTATGTATGTTTGATCATAACATTTCACATTTTAATTACAATTTAGTATTCTGATTTATAAATGTGAGTTCAGAGGTGGTATATGGTAGTATACATATGTCTTATATGTTTGGGTTTATTTAAGGGTTCCTTGCAAAAAGAAGGGGGGGGTTGAAAATCACTGACTTAGAAGATTAACATGATACGTAGCACTTAGGCTAGTCAAAGTAAGTCTTTTCTTTTGTCATTATTAATATCTCTATAAGGTACTGTGTGAAAACTCAGAAACTACTAAATAACACAATTACTTGAGAGCAAACTCATTTATGTGGTAATACATCCATTCCTGACAGCAGGTACCAAAATTATCTTTCTTGTGATGCCATTTAGAGCACTGTGAATAATTTCTAATTCAAAGCTTCCCAAAGGACATGTCATAAGGGAGAAACAAGTCATTCATATATCCTGAAAAGATCAGGAAATAGAGTCCAGCTCTATAGTTCCTAATCCTGCTCCAGGATTAGGTCAAGAAGGAAATTGTGTGAGAAACTTTTCCTAATTCTTAACCATGGAGCAGAGAGAAGAAATATATACACAGTTGTCAGACATAAGGTGTCTTCAAAAACACAAATCTCTGATTAGCAATTTAGGTTCCATTAAAGATGAAAATGAATCATCTCTGATAGTGAATATCCACAGTCATCTATGACAGATTAGGATCAAGTAAAGTTTTCTCCAATGTAAGAGGTAAAAGAAAGATAAATGATTGTCCTAAGGACTCCCAGTAAGAGATGCTTATGAAACTGATACCGTTATTACCCTGCTTTTGAGTATTTAACAACTTCAAACAGGAACATTATTACCCTGCTTTTGAGTATGTAACAACTTCAAACAGGAACTCAGTTTCCTCATGACCAAATGAATCAAGATAAAAGTAGCAATTTCCCATCCAAATGGTGGTGGTGATAACAAAATCTCTGAATGTATAATAATTATATATATTATGTAATCTAAACAATACATCAATCCTGGGAAACCATCAGGCCATTATTTCAATCCTTATTTTATAGATGATTCTCCATTTGCATATGTGATAAAGACAAAGACCTGTTCAAAATCACACTGATAAGAAGCAGCACAGATGGAGTTAGAATCTTTTTTTTTTTTTTTTTTTTTTTTTGCAGTTCGGGGGGCTCTCACTTCTTTTGCCTCTCCCCCTGCGGAGCACAGGCTCCTGACGCACAGGCTCAGCGGCCATGGCCCACGGGCCCAGCTGCTCCGCGGAACGTGGGATCCTCCCGGGCCGGGGCACGAACCCATGTCCCCTGCATCGGCAGGTGGACTCTCAACCACTGTGCCACCAGGGAAGCCCCATGGTCTTTTTTTAACAATACAATGCTATCTGTAATCTGGAAGTATAAGCCTCTAGATCTAGGGACATAAAATAAAAGCAAAGAACCATCTAAACATATTATATTACTATATCTGCTGATACAGAAGTACATTAGAAACAGCAGGGACTTTGTAAGTCGATTTGGATTTGTATTTCAACTCTGCTACTTACTGGTTTATGACCATTGATATTCAGATTAAGGGTCAAAATATAACTGTAAAGAGTTTAAAAAGTTAAATGAGGGATATACGTAAAGTGCTCACACGAATTAGTGTACGATGGAGGTTTCTAACCTTGGCCACTGTTACATTATTTTCCTTTCCCTTTCAGCTAGCAATAATTTAGGATCCTTGTTCTAGCATGGCTCCATCAAAAAGGTCTCTGGAGATGGAACCCCATAAGGTTCTCCTCAACAGAGACTGAGGCTTCTGAGCCAGGCACATAAATTACTTGCTCAAGTTCTGTCTGTAATTATGAAAGAAAAAAGGTTCAATTTCCTCCTCCACTTCTCCTTCCCTCACTTTCATTTGTAGAAAAAGACACAGCTAAGGGAAAAAAGAATTTTTTTAAGAGGTAATGCAGATAAGAAAGGGGGGGGATGAATAATTATTTGGGAAGAGGGTCCTGCTGACAAAGGATGGTTCACTGAAGTAGTAGGAAAAGAGAGTCCAGAGGAAAGAAAGAATCTAATCAACCTCTTGAATCCTAGACAAAAGGCATAAAGAAAAGTAGAGACCCATTCCATGACAACAGAAGATCTTAACAGCAGTTTACTGCAGAATCCAGTTAACCCTAAAGTGCTGCAAGAAAGCCTTGGACTGGGAAAGGCAAACATAAGAATGACTTATTTCCCCCTATGAAAAAAATGGCTATCATATCTTCAGTTATAATAAGAGAAATGACTTGTTTTTCTAGAGAGCTTAGACATACTAAATACAAAAGAAAAAAGTTCAAGAAGTAGTTGAGAAAGTACCCAGGAACTTCATTAAAATAATAAAAAGGAAAAAATTAATGGTCCATAAGGGTTCTTTCTTACAGAGAACAGAAGGACTTATCTCCTTTACCCTTTATCATTTACCTTAGTACCAGGCAAGAAGGGTGTGAAAACACTAAAGAAGCTGTTATGGGGAGAAAACTAAAGATTAATGGTTCATATGGGTTTTTCAGTCATTCTAGAGGCTAGAAACATATCCTTCTCCCTTAGGTCATGTCTCCCAAAATAGCATCTTAAAAATACCAAATGGCACAACAGAGATATACCTACCAGCTGTCAGGGATGTCTCAAATCCATCTTTAATTAAACAGCTGAGACTCTACTTCTTCATATAACTTTGAACTGCTACAAGTGTAAAGGGGACTATTTCTTCCACTGGGAAGAAGGGCAGGAAAGAACAATAGGCAAATTAATGAATTATATATGGTTCCAATTTCAAGTTAGTCATCTGTTTCAAAGGTTGTACTTTGATTGAAGCTATTAGTACCCAACAGCAAAAGGAACATGAGTTTAAATGTTCAAAATCACAACTAGGATGAAATCTCGTTCATATTATAACCATCAATAAATAACAAAAAGTGTATTATTTAAACTAACAAATCATGTTCTTCAAATAAAACATAAGGAGAATCTAATTCATTAGTATGCTATTGTTCTGCCCAACTACAGACAAGTTATCCATAAATGCCTAACAAAGTCAAATAAGACCAAAGCTCTAAAGTATAGACATATTCTTTCTTTTAAAGGAAAATTTAGATAACTTCTCCAAATTCCTATATCTTTTATGTCAATCTAATTCTGTAATATATTCATGTTAAAATAAACATCATCAGTTTGTTAGTGGCAATGGGGAGAGAGGAAAATAAACGGACTATTGGACATACCCTATGTAATATTTCTAAAACCTTTAATGCGGTATGAAGAAAACTGTTGAAAATTCTTCTTTCAGAAGGGGGAATGCCGATCTTGTAGAGTTTCAAAAGATGTACCACAACCTCCTTAAAAAGTTCTACAATCTTGAGGAATAGTGGAGGTTCAAGTACTGACCACCAGTTTTCTGTTATTAAAGGGTGAACACACAAAATAAAATTTAAAAAGTCACAATTTTCAAAATCATACTGACTGTTTTTCGAAAGCAGTGGCTCTTAACCCTTTGAAAACCTCAGGAAGATACACATAATATGGTATTTTACGTAACATTTCTAGGGTTTATAGATACCACCCCACCCTCAAGTTAAAGAATACGGTTCTAAAAGCTCTCAAAAGCAAAAATAAAGTTAAAAAGGTCTATTGAATTTACATTCTTGGTTTCCTAAGCTACATTAAAAACTTAATACCTAGTAATAAAACCACTTGTTAAAAAGTGCTTTGGAAATTAGGATTTTAATTTTTAAATAAAACACTTTTAAAACTGTATTGCTCCAATATTTAAAGATCTCTCCAACTTTTATCTTTCAACTTACGTAACATAAAGTTGAAATATTGTGAAGCACCATCCTAAAAATGCAAGGTACTCCTGAAAATCAAATACAGAAACTGAACAATGTAAAGTATACCATGTCTGTCCTTCCCCACGTTCACTATTTGTAGTTATTAACTACAAATATGACAATCTTATGCAGCAGACAGAAGGGAATACAAAAACTTCTGACAATATGGAAGCAATATGCTTTTGAGTCCCTGCTTCACTCTTCTAACCACTGGCTAATTCCCTCAGATTCCAGGATTCTACCCCTTGCTTGTTGCTTCCTCTGCTCACCCTCAGCCTAAAACTTCTTGTACTGATTTTATTACTCTTATGTATCTCAGATTCACATACCTAACAAATACTATTAAGAAGGAAAGCACTGCTACTAAATGTAGCAGGCAAACTATAATGGTCAGCAGACAGAGATGAAATGTATACAATTAGAAAAATTAAAGTGAGGAAAGTTTAGGCCAAAAACCCAGAGGAATAAGATCAAATAAACAGTGGAATCTCACCTACATGCAGAGACATCAGAAAATTAGCAAGTGAGGGAAATACAAGGCAAAGGATTAATAAAGTTCAAGGAGGATTTAATACCCATGTTTGTTCAGTTTTAATTGTTCCTCCTCCTTTACTTCTTTAACAGTAAGATCACTCTGGAGGGGATGAGGAAGGCGAATACCAAAAACAGTTTTTATCTTTCCCGATACTGTCTCTGCTGTTGTGCTTGATTAAAATTTTAATATTTAACATGCTTTGCCTCCAACTCTAACAACTAGCATCAGATGACTAGCAAAAAGCAACAAACTGAAAAACAGGTTTATCTCACCTTAAGACAATGTCAAAATAAGCAGGGTAGCAAAATTTCAAACAGCAAAGAAGTTATGAGCATTTTCATTTAAAGAGAAAAGGTTGTAAAAAAAAAAAAAAGTATTAAAATTCTTACCAAGTACTTTCAGTGGTGCCTTTTCTAGGTTCACAAGAGCTGTACCAAAGGGAATTGCTATTGTGGTGAAATTGTTGGAATCACTCATCAGGGGACATTCTGGTAGAGTAAGATAAAATCTCAATGCTTCAACATCAGGTAAGGAGCTAGTCAGTTTAGGAATAAGATTCTTTTCCAAGCTAGCTGCCACCTATATTTTGACAAAAAGTAAAACCTACTTCATTTAAAATGAATGCATATTCCAAAAAAAGAAAGAAGAAGAAAACCTTATACTACAGCAAACGTGAAACGGTGAAGGGAAAAAAAAAAAAAGAAACCATCTTACAATGAATTAATGAATGCACTTTAGAGCACAATGAAAATTAATGCCTAAGCAGTGCTAAGAGAATTTTAAAAATCTTGCATACAAGATTTTTATTTATATCTCAATTTAAACTCTACATCTATAGTTATACAGACTTAACCAACATGGTAATATTAAGTAATTAAGAGTCTGCTCTGAACATCTGGAAAGATTTACAGATATTTGACAGCTAAATTACAAACAGTTTAAAATAATACCCTATTTTAATTCTTACATTAGTATATTAAATAAAATTATACAGACATCTCAATAAAGTGTATGAAACTGTAAAGTTAATTAGGTCACAAACATATAAAAAAACATGGAATAAAAAACTCAACAGGCTACATAATACAAATATAAAATGCTTTAAAAACAAACCTGCTGAGATATCTGAGGATGATCAGATTGTATAAGTTTGTGGAATAAAAGCCTAGCAGCATTCATATCAACCCCTGAAAATCTGGTGCCCGTTCTATAGTGATCATCATTGCTATTTAAAAAAGAGAGAGAGAGAGAGAGAGAGAGAGAGAGAGAGAGAAAATAATAAAATGCAACTTTAAAATTTTTTCACTTCTTTTTAATGACATTATTTAATATAATAAATTTGAAAAATTTGGTATACCAAAGAACTGTCACTCACCTAACAGCTAAAAAACTTCCATTTAGACAACCAGACGAAGAAAACGTTCCATCTATTTCACTAAAAAGAAATTTAAAAATCACAAAATCACAAAATGAGAAATCTAATTGTTCACCTTTGGTGGTTTTTTTTTAATAGATCTTAATTGGAGTATAATTGCTTCACAATACTGTCTTAGTTTCTGTTGCACAACAAAGCGAATCAGCCATATGCATACACATGTCCCCATAACCCCTCCCTCTTAAGCCTCCCTCCCATCCTCCCTATTCCACCCCTCTAGGTCACTGCAAAGCACCAAGCCAATATCCCTGTGCTATGCTGCTGCTGCTTCCCACCAGCCAACTATTTTACATTCGGTAGCATATATATGTCAATGCTACTCTCATTTCACCCCAGCTTCCCCCTCCCACCCCATGTCCTCAAGTCCATTCTGTATGTCTATCTCTTTATTCCTGCCCTGCAACTAGGTTCATCCGTACCCTTTATTTTATTTTTTAGATTCCGCATATATACATTAGCATACGGTATTTGTTTTTCTCTTTCTGACTTACTTCACTCTGTATGACAGAATCTAGGTCCATCCACCTCACTACAAATAACTCAATTTTGTTCCTTTTTATGGCTGAGTAATATTCCATTGTATATAGTGCCACATCTTCTTTATCCATTCATCCCCTTTATTTTTTAATAAAAAATAAAATCACCTTTTATTTATTTATTATTTATGTGGATAAAATCCACATCACCTTTATTATTTAATAAAAAATAAAATGTAGTATTTAATGCTACAGAGCATTCCTCCAACCAACATTCAAAATAAATCAGAATTCTATAAATTACTAAAGATTAAGTAAATCTTGATAAAGGTATTACTGTTTATCTCTTTATTACTCTCTCAAACATTACTACCATCCTCTGATTCATCAAATAAATCTGATGTTCCTAAAAAAATTTTTTTTTTGTTATCTAAAAAAATTTTTTATATAAACATGCACATTTAACTTTCTTAATTCCACATGGTGGTAAATCTAATCTGGAATGTTATTTTTCTGAAGACTACACTTCAGGCTTTTAAGAAAAATTTTAGTTTGGTAAAATAATTTCGAATTAAAAAAACAGCTGATCAGCTATAGCCCCTCATCCCAAATACCTACACCACCTTCAACAACAACAACAAAAACTTTTAAGTACTAAACAAGTCCATCTTCAAGAAAAATATTCAAGAAAGAAGAAATACTCAACTCTTCCATGGAATATAGAAGTTAAAAGACAGTGACCACTATGAAGCTAGAAGGAACATTTTTGCAAACCCAATCCTAAAGTGGCTATATTTAATATTTTAAGTTATCATTTAATATATCATTATGTATATGAAAGAATTGTAACTTATAAACATCTACATGAGATCTCCTAAAATATCCACTATTACAGAAATTCTAGACAATTAAACTTTTGTATATAAACCATTCTGTAAATGATATTTAATGAAATATTTATTTAAATAAAAACTCCTAAGTACAGGTTCCTCTACCATGGAGTTAAGAGACTTTGTGTAGATAAAATATTTTTCTTACTTGGCTATCTCTACAGGAAATCTTCCAGAGGGGTAGCTCAGCCATTTTTGAATTAGAGCTTCATTCACAGTCCAGATCTGCTTCGAAGGATCAGGATATCTAAAGTCATCTGGTGGCCCACAGTTCTAAATTTTAAAATAAGCAGATGAGTCAGAGGGAAGAGATATTATATATAAACCAAGACACGCCTCCACTATGTATTTGGAAGTTAATCTCTACTAAACACCTGGAACAAAAACTTATCAAATGGGGACTTCCCTGGTGGCGCAGTGGTTAGGAATCCGCCTGCCAATGCAGGGCACACAGTCTCAAGCCCTGGTCCGGGAAGATCCCACATGCTGTGGAGCAACTAAGCCCGTATGCCACAACTACTGAGACTGTGCTCTAGAGCCCACAAGCCACAAATATTGAAGCCCACGCACCTAGAGCCCATGCTCTGCAAGAAAGAGAAGCCAACACAATGAGAAGCCTGTGCACCACAATGAAGAGTAGCCCCACTCGCTGCAACTAGAGAAAGCCCATGTGCAGCAACAAAGACCCAAAGCAGCCAAAAATAAATAAAGAAATAAATTTTTAAAAAAACTTATCAAAAAAAAACCAACTTATCAAATGGATCTGAAAAATTTTGTAGACTTGAGGGAAAAAAAAAATTGAGGCAATTACTTTGTAACATATAAAGAACATTAATATGGGTTTAAAAACAACTTCTAAATTATCTGAGCTTAGTAATTATTTATATGATTACTATTACCTGGGGATTAGAGTAATGTGAAAAGCTTTGATCTCCACCTGAGAAAATTCTTTTTACACAGAAATATTCTTCAGAATCTGTAATAAAAATAAAATATAAAACATTCAAGATTTATATGCATTTTTCAGAGCATCAAATATGCTACTGGATTTTCTCTTAATCATCTAACTTAATGAGACCTCCCAATCATGGGCTCAATGATACAAAATGACTGGGAATGGTCTGACTGCTATGGAGATGAGACTGACCAAGTGACAAATGTTAATGATCCCACAAGCACAACAAGCATTTGATAAGTTTTACAAGTCTTTCTTTAGACCTGCTCACCAAAAAATGGCAGTTTCTAGTCTAGATCTTTATTATCTCAATATATTTTAAACTGAAGATGGTGTAAAATTTGAATGAAAGGTATAGAAGATAGCTCAGAAGAAAATAAAAATTAAGAATATTCATTTTGGGGAATTCCCTGGTGGTCCAGTGGTTAGGACTTGGCGTTTTCACTGCTTGTGGCCTGGGTTCAATCCCTGGTTGGGCAACTAAGATCCCATAAGCCTCGCAGGGTACAGCCAAAAAAAAAAAGGAATATTTACTTTTAAAAAGAATGACAACAAACAAGTATATGTTAAATCTTCCTGAGTAATGCAAAATTCATAATGTAAAATTATTTTCTCTTTCAATATAGCTGTACAAAAGAAAGATGACACACATAGCTCTTTGTTAACAACTATTTATCAGTAACACCCAAATCAGGTCCAAAAACAAAAAAGTTAATACACAAATTTAGTAGAAGTAAAGAAGGAACAATAAAGCACCTTTTTTTCAAGTTTTGTGTTTTATTGTGATGTTTATTTTTCTTTAAAAGTTTGTTTTTTTTTAACATCTTTATTGCCGTATAATTGCTTTACAATGTTGTGTTAGTTTCTGCTGTATAACAAAGTGAATCAGCTATATGTATACATATATCCCCATATCCTCTCGCACTTGCGTCTCCCTCCCACCCTTCCCTATCCCACCCCTCTAGGAGGTCACAAAGCATGGAGCTGATCGCCCCATGAGATGCAGCTGCTTCCCACTAGGTATCTATTTTACATTTATTTGGTAGTGTATATATGTCAATGCCACTCTCTCACTTCGTCCCAGCTTACCCTTCCCCCTCCCAGTGTCCTCAAGTCCATTCTCTACATCTGTGTCTTTATTCCTGTCCTGCCCCTAGGTTCTTCAGAACATTTTTTTTTTAGATTCCATATATATGTGTTAGCATACGGTATGTTTTTCTCTTTCTGACTTACTTCACTCTGTATGACAGACTCTAGGTCCATCCACCTCACTACAAATAGCTCAATTTCGTTTCAGTAAAGTGCCTTTTTAAAAAGACATTCAAAGCCTCTTCCTTTTTCTCCTCTCCTGTACCTCAAAATGGAAAGAGTATCTATTATCAAAAATACCGCTAGCCTAGTATTTAGAAGTACCACATACCAAAACACCATAGCTCCACAATGTAACTTAAGGCCAGTTATTTCCAAATATAATCCATTTCTGTGTTCCTACTGCTGACCCCCCACTCTTTAGTTGACTAATTCTTTTTTTTTAATATAAATTTATTTATTTTTGGCTGCGTTGGGTCTTCGTTGTTGTGCGTGGGCTTTCTCTAGTTGCGGGGAGCAGGGGCTACTCTTCACTGCGGTGCGCAGGCTTCTCATTGCAGTGGAACACAGGCTCTAGGTGTACGGGCTTCAGTAGTTGTGGCACACAGGCTCAGTAGTTGTGGCTTGCAGACACTACAGAGCGTGGGCTCAGCAGTTGTGGCGCACTGGTTTAGATACTCTGCAGCATGTGGGATCTTCCCAGACCAGGGCTTGAACCCGTGTCCCCTGCATTGGCAGGTGGATTCTTAACCACTGTGCCCCTAGGGAAGCCCAGTTGACTAGTTCTTCACCTTGTATTATTTGTGACCACCACTGCTACAGAATTATAAATTCTTAAGGAAGGGACCACATCTTAATTTTCTTGATCATTCCCTACTACCAAGCACAATGTTTTATTTGTAAAAAAACTCAGTAAATATTTAATATGAATATATAATATAAAAAATTATCTAGCTTAGATAATAATAAGAGCTTCAGAAATCAGAACATTAATATGACCAAATTTTCCACAACAAGACTGCTCTACAGCCAAAAATTTTTAAGAACAGATTAAAAGGGTAAATCTAAAATATTAAATAAACCAATCATTCAACTTAAAATCTTTTCTCTACATCATCCTCACAAGTCTACATGAAGTCATGCACTTCCTCAAAAGATTGAGCAGAATGTTATTCGTTTGTTCCTAAAAGGTGATTCTGCCTTCTTTAAATAATCATCAAGTAAATGATGACTAATCTATAGTACATGAATGGGTTTCTGGGGGCTGTGAGTAGGGCACCAAAAATTATTTTCCTTAATTTCCTTTTAATTACTACTGTAAAAAAAGTCTGTGAAACCTAGTCATTTGTCCTACACAGCTTCCTGCAGATTGGATTTTGCTGATTATATCCTCAAGGATTCTCCTAACATTTCTCTCAGTCTTCTGTATTTCCTGTAAATTGGTAGTTGGATCTAGAGAGGATTCAATTAGATTAATTAGTCAATTTTTTTTTAAGAAGATGTTGGGGGTAGGAGTTTATTAATTAATTAATTTATTTTTTGCTGTGTTGGGTCTTCATTTCTGTGCGAGGGCTTTTCTCTAGTTGTGGCAAGTGGGGGCCACTCTTCATCGCGGTGCGCGGGCCTCTCACTATCGCGGCCTCTCTTGTTGAGGAGCACAGGCTCCAGATGCACAGGCTCAGTAGTTGTGGCTCACGGGCCTAGTTGCTCTGCGGCATGTGGGATCCTCCCAGACCAGGGCTCAAACCTGTGTCCCCTGCATTAGCAGGCAGATTCTCAACCACTGCGCCACCAGGGAAGCCCCAATCAGTCAATTATTTTGACAAAACTATTACATGGTGGTGGAAGGGGCTGTTCTTCCATCAGTAAGCACATAATGTATAGTTGGGTTCCTTTTTGTGACGTTAGTAACCATTGATGCCCAATGCTTAGACCATTAATTCATTGTGGGTTGAAAAATGATACACTAATATTACTTCCTCATCTTGTGGTTGGACCATTAGCTTCCCCCTATCTACCACATAGTTCATTAACCTGTAATAGGAAAGACTAATGCTGTTCTTTTCCATTTATTTACTATCGTCTGGCTTTTTGAATTTGCATTTATTTGATTATAATATTTACATGTTTCTTAGTAACATGGATTTCCTCAATGGGAATTTCTGTTAACTTCCTTTATCTATTACATGTCTAAATGTTTGTCTTATTCATTTATTAGGTGTCTTACTGTTTTTCACACCAATATGTATGAGCACTTTGGATATTCAGGCTACTAACCTCAGGTTATATTCGTTACAAACATTTTTTCTAAATAATTATTTAATTTTGACTCACAAGTTTCTTTTTCCATTAAATCAAATGTATTTATCTCATTCTTTTTTTTCTTTTAAAGAGGAAGTGGGTTTCTTTATAAAAAATATTTATTTATTTGGCTGCACTGGGTCTTAGTTGCAGCATGCAGGATCTTCGCTGCAGCATGTGGGATCTAGTTCCCTGACCAGGGATTGAACCCGGGCCCCCTGCGTTGGAAGCGTGGAGTCTTAGCCACTGGACCACCAGGGAAGTTGGCCCTCTTTCTTAATGGTGACTTTCACTGCCATAATGGTGAGAAAGCTTTTTCCCATCCTCAAACTATAGAATTATTTTCTTGTCTTAAGAACTCTTTTACATTTAACTTTAATCCATCTATAATTTATTTTAGTTTATACTGTTAGGTTAGGGTCTAAACTGACATTTTCCTCCCAATTTTCATGTGTTGAATAATTCTTTCCCCTTCTCCACATATTAGTGATGCCCTATTTTAAAGTTATGAAGAGACACTACACCTCTTCTACCTATAACACGCTACACTAAAAAACTTTGGCACTCTCCTCCATCCCGAAAGTATTCTCAAAGTCCTTCTCATAACTTCCACTTCGTATAGTCCTTCCTATAACTCCAAGAGCCACTGCCAATCAACTGGAGTTTGAACAAAACCTATATATTGGGTTGGCCAAAAAGTTCCTTCGGTTTCTAAGTAAAAATAAGAGACACATTTTTCATTTTCACCAAGAACTTTATTTAACAACATATTCACCATTTTGTTCCACTACCTTCCGCCATTTTTCAGGCAACTTCATAATTCCGTCTTCCCAAAACCTTTTATCTTTTTGATCAAAGAACTGTTCCAGGTGCCATTTACAGTCTTCCAGGGAATTGAAATATTTTCCATTAAAAGAATTTTGTAAAGACCGAAATAAATGGAAATCCGAAGGTGCAATGTCTGGTGAATATGGCGGATGAATCAGAACTTCCCAGCCAAGCTGTAACAGTTTTTGCCTGGTCATCAAAGAAACATGTGCATTATCCTGAAGGAAGATTATGCGTTTTCTGTTGACTAATTCCGGACACTTTTCGTCAAGTGCTGCTTTCAGTTGGTCTAACTGGGAGCAGTACTTGCTGGAATTAATCATTTGGTTTTCCAGAAGGAGCTCATAATAGAGGACTCCCTTCCAATCCCACCATATACACAACATCCCTTCTTTGAAGACCGGCCTTTGGTGTGGTTGGTGGTGGTTTCACTTCGCTTGCCCCACGATCTCTTCTGTTCCACATTATTGTACAGTGTCCATTTTTCATCACCCATCACAATTTGTTTTAAAAATGGAATGTTTTCATCATGCTTAAGGACAGAATTGCATGCAGAAATACGGTCAAGGTTTTTTTTCACTTAACTTACGTGGAACCCAAACACCAAAGCGATTAACATAACCAAGTTGGTGCAAATGATTTTTGATGCTTGATTTGGATATTTTGAGTATGTTGGCTATCTCCTGCATGGTATAACGTTGACTGTTCTCAATTAATGTCTCAATTTTACCGCTATCAACTTCAACTGGTCTACTGGACCGTGAAGCATCATCCAGCAAGAAATCTCCAGCACAAAACTTCACAAACCACTTTTGACACGTTTGATCAGTCCCAGCACCTTCTCCATATACTGCACAAATCTTTTCTTTGCATTTCAGTTGCATTTTTACCCTTCTTGAAATAATAAAGCATAATATGTCACAAAAGTTACTTTTTTTTCTTCCATCTTCCGTATTAAAATGGCTACACAAAAATTCACCAATTTTTATGTCTTTTTTTAACGCACACTGATATGACAGCTGTCATAATACAATCTTACAAAATTGTTTCAAATGAAGTAAAAGACAACTAAGCGCTACTAGAGCCAGCTTACGGGAAACTGAACGAACTTTTTGGCCAATCCAACAACAATGGCAATACATGGATTCCCCTCCCACCCCCGGATTTCCATTAAGCTATAATAATCTAAATGTCTAGGGACCTCCCTGGTGGTGCAGTGGTCAAGAATCCCCCTGCCAATGCAGGGGACACGGGCTCCTGGTCTGGGAAGATCCCACATGCCACAGAGCAACTAAGCCCGTGCGCCACAACTACTGAGCCTGCACTCTACAGTCCGCGAGCCACAACTACTGAGCCCACATGCCACAACTACTGAAGTCCACACACCTAGAGCCCATGCTCCGCAACAGGAGAAGCCACCGCAACGAGAAGCCCGCGCACCACAACAAAGAGTAGCCCCCACTCACCGCAACTAGAGAAAGCCCGCAGGCAGTAATGAAGACCCAGCGTAGCCAAATAATAAACTAAAAAACAAAAAAAAGTCTATATGTATACGAATAATCTGATTTAACTGTTACAGTTTTATAGTATATGTTGTCATATCTAGGAGGGCTACTTCACCTCCTTATTCTCTACAAAATACACTGTCAGGAAAAACGGAAAATTTTGAAATAGGCTCCCCTGCCCATGCACCCTCCCCCCCGACCCCCGCCCCCACCATTTACTGAGTCTTGATTAGGGCACTCTTCAGAAACTTATCTACCTAAATGATGTGTTTGAGCTATTTACAATTCTGTAAAGTGTACTTCTATTTAGGAGCAATACTGACAGAGATACAACTATGTATGTGCCTTTGACTTACAAGGAAAAGAAGTAGTTTTTTGATGATCCCTGAATCCCTTTACACTCTTAGGACTTATTCAGGACCCCAAAGGGCTTAAAAGCACTAATACATAACACATCAGAATTGAAAATTAAGAAATTTAAAAAATACTCATAGACTTACCTGAAAGTGAACAAGAACAAAGGCACTGCATGTTAACACAGATAACAGTACTAACATGAAAGTCATTCTAACCTCATGAACCCTATGACACAATACCACTGTCCTTGAGCAACTATCAGCTGGTTCCACAATACGGAAGAACATAACTGAAGACACAACATGGTAAGTGATTTTTATTTTCCTTGGTTTATACTTGATTCTGAAATAAGTTATACAATATGTTAAAATCTTAGCAAAGTTCACTCAATTTTGAAGGGTGTGCTCCGATGCCTTCACCTATGTTATTTTTTTACTTTTGTGTAATCTGCCAAAGAGCAAAAATTCTGTGTTTTACTAGAATAATTTTCTATACTTGATGTTGATTTTGTTTTTCATTATTTAAGTGGAAAAAAGAACAAAGACTCCTCACTTATGAATAAGCTAAAGTTCTTTTCAATCATATTACCATTTACATTTATTTTGAAATGTTTTATTGTCACTTCAGTAAAACAGGTAACCAAGTATTATTTCTCAAGCATCAAAGGTTACATCTTTTAATAAAGTGTTCCAATATCCCCTCACAACTTTTTTGATTTTTGTCTTCCTGTTATGGGCTGAATTGTGTCCACCCCTGCCCCCAAATTCATATGTTGAAGCTGTAATCCTCAGTACCTTGGAATATGACTGTATTTGGAGATCGGACCTTTAGAGAGGTGATTAAGGTAAAATGAGGCTGTTAGGGTGGGGCCCTAATCCAATATGCCTGCTGTCCTTATAATAACAGGAAGAGACACCAGCAATGCACGCGCGCACACACAGAGAAAAGGTCACATGAGGACACAGCAAGAAGGTAGCCATTTGCAAGCCAAGGCTTCAGAAGAAACCAAACCTGCTGACAGAGTGATCTTAGACTTCTAGCTTCCGGAACTGTGAGAAAATAAATTTCTGCTGTTTAAGCCACCCAGTCTGTGGTATTTTGTTATGGCAGCCCTAGCAAACTAACACACTTCGCCGAATCAGATCCTAAACTTAGGAAAATAAAACTTCCAAGATACCTTCTATGTGTTAGTGAAAATACCTTTGCGATTTCCCAGAGAGGCTATGGAGAATCACAATGATTTGTCCTTTCAACATATAAGTAGAGATGCTAGAAATAATTAAGTTTATTTGATGTGTTACTATTTTAAGAGTTGCATGGGAAGAGTTGTCAAATCAGAAGACACTTAACCTTCCCTAGGTTAAATTTATATGGTAAAATTAATATAAATATTTCACCTCTCTAAATTAATAAAGATATTTCAAAAATGTAATTACTATAAAAATTTCTAATTTATATGGTAATATAATATAAAAATTTCAAAAATTAATATATTTCAAAAAGTGTTTTATGAGAAGTACATGGAGATTCACCAATGTCCTTGCTTACCATATGTTTAAATATGAAGGGAAACATTATTCAAAACTCTTATGAAATAGTTCTGTCAAGTTTTCCTGTATTTATAAGAGTTCTGGCGGTACAGTGCTGTCTGTCCTAATTTCAGGTTTTGTTCCCCCAATTTCAGTTATTATTGAACCTTTATTTTATTCACATCTATCATCTTCTAGGTCAGTGATTTTCAAATGGCGTTTTATAAAAATATAGATGTCTAAACTTGATCCCTGACTTACTGAATCTCTTTACTTGATATTCTTGGTGTTATTCCTGGTACATTAGGTCTCAGGATTATCATATTATATCTCAAGATTTTTTTCAACTGTAAAAGGTTATACTCATTCATATTCATAAATCAGATGTAAGGAGTCACTGACTTCTTTGAGAATAGGCTTAATCATCATCTTTAGAAACATTCTTGTTTGAAAACCTTTTTGGAATACAGGCATAACTCACTTTATTGTACTTCACAGATATTGTGGTTTTTACAAATTGCTGATTTGTGGTAATTGATGATTTGTGTTGTCAGATGATTGTTAGCATTTTTTAGTAATAAAGTATTTTTAATTAAGATATAATATGTACATTTTTTAAAGAAATAATGCTACTGCACACTTAATAGACTACAGAATAGTGTAAACATAACTTTTACATGCACCAAGAAGCCAAAAATTTTATCTGACTCACTTTATTGTGGTATTCTGGAACCAAACCACAGTATCTCCAAAACATGCCTCTAATGTGTTCTCCATGTCACAGCAACAACCAAATTTCCTTGTCAACTGTATTTATTCTTATTATGAACCCTCGTCATATCTTTCCACTTGACAATTATCAATAATAAATAAGCCATAGTCATTTTAAGCCTCTTTCATTTATTGACTAGTTTTTGTTTTATTCTGATGCTTGTCTGAAGGCCTTCCTATAAGCTACAGGCCAGAGTTTGTACTTTCAACAAAGAAGGATAGTCTCAGAGCCCTGTGAAAAGGACTGTACCTGTTATTTGAAACCACTTATACATCAAAGAATAGATACTTGGGTACAGGCTTCTGAGGGGACGTGGCTTAGAGAACTTTCAAGACACCAGTGGACTACATTAGGATTTCTCATATATTTTTTTAAGCTGATAAGCAGTTTTATGAAACTGACAATCCAAGATCCATAATGTTTAACTTTGCTTTAATTTTCTGTTTTCTGGATCTCCCTTATAGGGAGTCATTTCTCCTTCTTCTAAAGTAATCTAATTCACATCAATTTTGTAAACTCTGCTTTGGTACGCTGAAACGAAATGTTAAAAAAACATTTCTCTTCTCCCTTCAGCTTGCCAGTATCTCCCGGAAAGGAACTTATATCCTCTTCTAAGGCCCTGATTTTTGCAGCTGCCATTCAGGGCACACCTCTAGATCACCTGACTCTGGGGGCCAGCGGGGGATTATGCTCAAGGGTCCCACAGGACTAAAACCAATGGACAAAGAGTTCTTAACTGACTACCACCCCAGGGCACAGCAAGAGGCAACAGACTGAGGTGCCCAATCTTTCTGTAGAAGAGGATTATTTATTAGTTTACCTAATACAGCTTTGGCCTAAGAGGCAGGCTTCTAATTAAACCCACATCAAAGGGCCTGTTGTAATCCTCTCAGAGATCTCAGAAGGAGGGCCTTATCTTTGCAACATCCCTCTGCTGCACACCAGAACATCCACTTCTTCCATAGGGGACCTCGTATTCCCATCTGGTGTCCCCATTTTTGTGGTTGCCACCTAACTGATGCCTCTTGATTGCCTGGTTCTGGTGGACAGCTGGGCTTGTATCCTGGGTCCCACGGGACTGTAACAACTGGAGAGACAGTTTTTTGTTGGCTACCACCCCCAGTGCACAGCACAAACAACAAACAGAAACATACCCCAGTTTTCTGCGAAAAAGGCCTATCTGCTTGTCCTGGAGCTTTGGCCTAAGGTTTCTACACCTCTAGCAACCTACTGAGGTGATCTTTGGGGACGAAAGCTGGTGGATGCCATCTTTGTGCTCTCCCTCTACCTTGCTTTAACTTGCCAGTATCTCCTGGAAAGGAGCTTGTACCCTTAGCTGGTGCCCTGATTTTCACAGCTGCCACCCAAGGGACACCTCTAGGTTGCCTAGTTCTGGCAGCAGTGTGACTTTCTCTTGCAGTCCCACAGGACAGATATACATTTGCATACTTAAAAGCTACTGCCTGAGGGTCTGGCCTCAATCAGCTTGAATTTAGGTATTGCTGAAATTCTCCCCTTTGGGATACTGACAGGTCTTGGCACATTCTCAACTGAGAGCCACTTAAAATAATATAGACTGTTTGGACATTAACAAAGATTTGAGAGACAATCAAGAGTGAGGGCAGGGTTGAACTATACCACAACACTACAGTAATCAAAACAGTATGGGATCAGCATTAAAAACAGACATAGAATGCAGAGCCCAGAAATAAACCAATGCATATATGATCAATTTATTTAAGACAAAGAAGCTAAGAATACACAGTGGGAAAAGGACAGTCTTTTCAATGAATAGTGCTGGGAAAATTGGACAGCCACATGCAAAAGAATGAAACTGGACCACTATCTTACACCATACACAAAAACCAACTCAAGAGCTTCCCTGGTAGTACAGTGGTAAAGAATATGCCTGCCAATGCAGGGGACACGGGTTCAAGCCCTGGTCCAGGAAGATCCCACATGCTGCGGAGCAACTAAGCCCGTGTGCCACAACTACTGAGCCTGCACTCTAGAGCCTGCAAGCCACAACTACTGAAGCCCGTGCACCTAGAGCCCGTGCTCCGCAACAAGAGAAGCCACTGCAATGAGAAGCCTGCGCACCACAACGAAGAGTAGCCCCGCTTGCCACAACTAGAGAAAGCCCGCACACAGCAACGAAGACCTGATGCAGCCAAAAATGATAATAAAAATAAATAAATTTATTAAAAAAAAAACTAACTCAAAATGGACTAAAGACTTGAATATATGACCTAAATCATAAAACTCCTAGAAGAAAACATAAGCAGTAAGCTCCCTGACATCAGTCTTGAGGATGATTTTTTGGATTTAGCACCCAAAGTAAAAGTATCAAAAGCAAAAAT